AGACATGAAAAAGAATTATAGGATATTATCAACAAAATTTATGCCAACACGTTTGAAAAGTTATGGAATGGACAGACACAATTTAGCAAAACCAACGCAAGAACAAATTAAAAAACTGACTAATCTTTTGTCTCTTTATATTTGGTGTAACTCACCAATGAAACCATCTTACGAAAAGATTTCTGTGAAGAAAACCCAGAAGACAGATTCACTGGTGAACTGTTCCAAACAGATAAGCACTAACTGATTTAAATTTTACAGAAAGTCTTCCAGCACAGTTTCCAACTCCTTTTATGCTTTTATGGGGCCACATAAATTTGACATAAAACACAGACAAGTACTTTAAAGGAAATTACAAGACAAACATCTAATTAACAGACACAAAAATAATTTTTTTAAGTCGTATACTGAGTCTAGCAAAATGAGAAGGCTAATAAGCCAATATCTACCATGTCCAAGTGTAGTTTATTCCAGGAAGACAAGTTTTACCATCTAAAAATCAAGAAATGTAGTTATTCACATTAACAAATTGAAGGATTTTTTAAGACAATGACACACGCAGAGAAGGCACTGGATAAAATATTCACTAACAATAAAAAAAAACTTGGCAAATTGGGAATAAAACAATTCTTTTCATTATTAAAAGTAATCTATGAAAAACTTGCAGCTATTTTTATATTTATGAAATATGGAACATTTTCCCCTAAGATCAGGAACAGGGCAAAGATGTTCATATTCGTCGTTTCTATTCATCACTGTAAACGAGTGAGGCAAAAAAAGTAAAAGATAAAATTTAGAAATCAAGTAAGACTTTCTTTTGTTATCAACAGAATTGTACACAGAAAATCCAAACTAATCCACAAACTATTTGAATATAATTCAAGTAATAATAATTTAATTTATAAATGTCACTGGATAAAAAGATCAATGTACAAAAAGAAACTGTAATTCATGCTAGCTGAAAAATCAAAAAGGAAATAAATAAAAATATTTACAAAGCAAAACATACCACATACCTAGAAATAAATTAAAGATATTCAAGACCTCTACAATTAAGCTAAAAAACACTGTTAAGATAAATTAAAGACAACCCAGGTAAAAGGATGATTACAATACATTTAATTGGAAGACTCAATATTGTAAAGATGTCAATTTCATTCAGTTATGGCATCAAGTCAATGCAATTCCCAGCATACTCTCAGCATATCTGTGAAAACTGATAAGGAAATGCTAAAAATAACATAGAAACAAATGAGGAATAGGGAAGGCAAGACAATCTTAAAGAATAAAAATGCTAGGGGCGCCTGGGTGGCTCAGTGGGTTAAAGCCTCTGCCTCCCGGTCAGGTCATGATCCCAGGGTCCTGGGATCAAGCCCCGCATCGGGCTCTCTGCTCAGCGGGGAGCCTGCTTCCCTTCCTCTCTCTCTGCCTGCCTCTCTGCCTGCCTCTCTGCCTACTTGTGATCTCTGTCTGTCAAATAAATAATTTTTAAAAAAATGCTGTTAATTCTCTCACAACCAGATTTCTAAATGTACCACAAAGCAACATAAAGGTTGAGAAGCCATCTTTAGCATTCTAAAGATACATTGACAGATGGCATCTGACCTTTCTCAGGGCCTGCTGAGTTACCAGACTCAGTTCCCTCCTATTGCTAAGACCCCAGTAAGCACAACATGCTAGCTGACAGTATTACCCCCACTTGCCCACTGCTGCCTCCTCCCCTCGCCATACATCACAATGGTCAGGACTCTGATTGGGTCGGTGCAAACTCTACTCTGGTTTGGGGATGAGCACTCGAGCCAGACCTGAACAAATCAGAGTATTACATTCCTCTGGCCACAGTGATTCGGTAACAAGTGAGCCAATCAGATTCTATTATAATGATCACATTGGAGTTGCTCTTTTCTCCCTGAGACTTCAACCTAGAGAAAAAGCAGCCTGGATCTTTTGGGACCCACAACAGAAAGAGCCTGCCACGAAGAACAGCTAAATGCAAGAAGATGCACAGCCAAGACACGGACACAGAATTCATCCAGGTAAGAGCTTTTCAACCCCAGGATCCCAGCCATCCCTGAAACTAGTTGTACCCAAGGACTTCTCAAAAATCAAACCAATAAATTCCCTTTATAACTCACAACAATGAGAAGAGTGAAAAGACAAGCCAGAGACAGGGAAAAGTAATCTGCAATGTATGTATATATAATATACATAAGTCATGAATATATATGATATATAACACATGGTTTTATAAATGTACGTGTATGTAACTAGACACAGAAATACACATACATACAATAAAGGACAAGTAAGTAGAAGGAAACCCTTCACATAAAATAAGAACCAAAAATGAATGAAATGCTTCAACAGGGTGCCCTCATAAAAGATACCAAACAGGGGTGCCTGAGTGGCTCAGTGGGTTAAGGCCTCTGCCTTCAGCTCGGGTCGTGGTCCCAGGGTCCTGGGATGGAGCCTCGCATCGGGCTCTCTGCTCAGCAGGGAGCCTGCTTCACTTCCTCTCTCTCTGCCTGCCTCTCTGCCTACTGTGATCTCTGTCAAATAAATAAATAAAATCTTTAAAAAAAAAAAAAATACCAAACAGAGGCACCTGGGTGGCTCAGTCAGTTAAGCCACTGCCTTTGGCTCAGGTCACAACTTCAGAGTCCTGCGATGGAACCCTGCCTGGGGAATCCCCGCTCAGTGGGAATCCTGCTACTCCTTCTCCCTCTGCCCCTCCCCCCTGCCTGTGCTTTCTCTCTCTCAGTTGAATAAATAAAATCTTTAAAAAAAATTTTTTTTAAAGATATCCAAATAGCCAATAAGCACATAAAAAGTACTTACCATCACTACGTGTCAGGTAACTGCAAACTAAAACCAAAGCAGGATATTACCACGTCCTCTGCTGGATGCCTAAGATTAGAAAGGGCTGTCCAACTAGGTGGAACCACTGGAATTTGCATGCATTGCTTTTAGGATGATAGATGGAAGCCACCTTTTTGAAAAACGGGACTACCTACTGAAATTAAAGCTACAGCCTACTCTATGAGCCAGGGATCTCATTCCTACAAACAAAACACACACCAAGAGAAGTGTAAGCCAGCAAAAAGAGCAATTAAGGAGAAAGACAACTATCACATGATCTCCCTGATAGGAGAAAGTGGAGATGCAACGTGGGGGGTTTTGGGGGTAGGAAGGGAGGGAGACAAACCATAAGAGACTCTTAATCTCACAGGGTAGACTGAGGGTTGCCGGGGTGAGGGGGGTAGGGAGAGGGTGGTGGGATCATGGACATTGTGGAGGGTATGGGCTATGGTGAATGCTGTGGAGTGTGTAAACCTGGTGATTCACAGACCTGTACCCCTGGGGCTAATAATACATTATATGTTTATTAAAATTTTTTTTTAATTTAAGTATTAAAAAAAAGAGCAATTAAAAGGCAAACCAGATATCATGCTGAGAAAAGAAGCCAAACACATAATTGTACATATTGTGTTTAAGCACTCAGATAAAGACCAAGAGGATCAAGAAGAAACAAACCTAATAAACTGAATAAAAGTCAAACTGTGGTTTCCTCTGTGGGACAATTATTGAGAAGGTAGATAAATAAGCTTTCTTGAATCCTGAGAACCTCTGTTCATCGGGGTGTGTACGTAAGTGAAATTTCATCAAGCTGTACACTGAAGATTAGCACATGTGCATATTAGTGTATTTTTGCTTTACTGAAACAGCAGAAAATGATAAGGGATAAAGGGGAAATATGATGGGAAGGGGAAAGTGCACCTAGATGTACTGAAGAAGCACAAACCAATTAGTTTTCATCTTTCTCAAATAAAAGAGCAGAAAAATCTGTTGGAAAGTGTCAAATGTAAACCTTCCTCCACGAAAACAGGATGATGTCCTGGTACCTAATTTTCCTTACCGTCCACAGCCCTTCTTGTTTGAGATACCAGAGGACTTGCAGAGATGTCTGTGCCCTGCAGCAAAGTGACGTGATGGGCTTGCACGCGACACAGATTAACGATCCTGCTCTGAACTCGGGCCCCTCTACAGAGCCAGCTGACATGCCAGAGGGGCTGTCCTATCAGCAAAATGACAATGCCGGAACTTGCCAGAGAACCTAAGAAGCTGTGTATGACCGTGACGGGGGAACTGATGGGGGAACTGACGGAGAGGTCTACGGAGCTGCTGCCTCTGATGTTACTGAGGTTAAAGCATTTAATGTTCTGTTTCAAGCCAGTTCTGACTGGTGAAAACAAGCTGGACACAGAAGCCCACCAGGCCCCTACGTGTGTCTCCAACCTGTGGCCCCACTAAATGAAGGATAATAGCTTCTTCCCGCTGCCTTCCAATTCTCATGCAAGCTCTCTGTTTCAGACAACTCTAACCTGGGACTGGATAAGGAAATGATTCTAAGAAATGGAGTCCCAACCATGTCCAAACTAACATACATAAGCCAGCTCAACTAACTTTACTTCTAGCTTTCTTGTCACAAGGTCCCTTTTTAAACTCAAAACACTGGGTCCAATTCCCAGCCACTAACAAGGACAAAGAACAAAATACAAAAACAACGTATTAGATACGACTCTCTTTCGAGATCTTTGCACTTATTAATTTCTGCTGAAATGACTTACTAGACAGGAAAAGGTTTTAATAGTAAAAACTGATAATTTCAAAAACTTTAGGTTCTTTTACTTAAAAAAAAAAAGAAAAGAAAAAAATATTGGGTAGGCAATTTCCAGTGTCTCCCATACTAGATCAAAATGAAATTACCAATTACAAGAAAAAAAAATCACCAAAGAAATTACAAATACCAAAGCGTTGATACCATTATGACTGCACACCTGGGGAACAATGAGCATTAATTAGATATTAATTTTTTTTAAAAAACCACCCCTGCCTGATGAAAAACACCTTAAACCCCCTGTGGGTCCAAAAGATTCTGTAACATAAAGAACGTTTATATCTCGGCTGAAATAAAGGTACATGTAATAAAATGTGGTTAGAGCTAAAAAGGTATTAGAGGAAAATTTATCACCTGAAATAATTCATATCAAAAAACGGAAACTGACTATCAATGAGCCAGCAGTCCACTTTACAAGTGAGGTCCTGATCTGTGCTTCTCTTGTGAATTTTCTTATACACCGGAAGTGACATTCACAAAGGCATTCCCACAGGGCGTACGGACACGGGTTTCTCTCAGCTATGAGTTCTCAAGTCGTCAAACAGATAAGCAACACTTTTTTGCTTTCTTACATTCACGGTGCATCTCCACAACGTTCCAGCTATGCTACGAGGTGAAAACGCCTTGCAGACATTCCCACATTTCTTACCATTTACACATTTTCCCTAGAGTGAGTTTTCACATGTCTTCGAAAGTAGGCAGGACACACGAAGGCTTTCCCACATTCCTTACATTCATATGGTTTCTCTCCAGTGTGGCTTCTTACATGTCTTCGAAAGGATGAGGGACAACTGAAGGCCTTCCCACATTCCAGACATTCGAAGGGTTTCTCTCCTGTGTGCATCCTTGCATGGACAGTAAGGTATGAAGAATGGCGAAAGGCTTTCCCACATTCCTTACATTCATACGGTTTCTCCCCAGTATGTGTTCTCATGTGGATCCTCAGAGCTGAGGGGTAAATAAAGGCTTTGCCACATTTCTTACATTCATAAGGTTTCTCTCCAGTGTGAGTTCGTATATGAACTGTCAGGTGGGAAGAACTAATAAAGGCCTTCCCACATTCTTTACACTCGTAAGGCTTCTCTCCAGTGTGAGTTCTTAAGTGTTCAGTGAGGGACGAGGAACGGCTGAAGGCCTTCCCACATTCCTTACATTCATATTGTATCTTCCCAGTGTGATCTCTCACGTGTGCTCTGAAGGATGAGGGACAACTAAAGGCTTTTCCACATTCCTTACATTCATAGGGTTTCTCCCTACTTTGATTTTTCACGTGCGTATTAAGGGAAGTGGGAAGATAGAAGGCTTTTCCACATTCCAGACATTCATAGGGTTTCTCTCCAGTGTGTTTTCTCATATGGATACTTAAGGAGGAGGGACAGTTGTAGGCTTTCCCACATTCCTTACATTTATAGGGTTTCTCGCCTGTGTGTGTTCTGACATGTACAGTGAGTTTTGAGGATTCACTGAAGGCCTTCCCACACTCTTTACACTCGTAAGGTTTCTCTCCGGTGTGAATTCGTATATGTATTATGAGGTGAGAGGAAGAACTAAAGGCCTTCCCACATTCCTTACATTCATATGGCTTGTCTCCGCTGTGAATTCTTTTATGTTTGGAGAGTGAGGAGGAACAACTAAACGCCTTCCCACATTCCCTACATTCATAAGGCTTATCTCCACTGTGAATCCTTTTGTGTTCTGTCAGGGATGAAGAACAGCTAAAGGTTTTTCCACATTCCTTACATTCGAAGTTCATCTTTCCAGTGTGAATCTTCATATGTGCCCTAAAGAAGGAAGAACAACGGAAGGCTTTTGTACATTCTTTACATTCATAGGGTTTCCCTTCGGTGGGATTTTTCACATGCTTCTTAAAACAAGCAAGAAAATGGAAAGCTTTCCCACATTCTTTACACTGATAGGGTTTGCTTCCAGTGTGAGACCTGATGTGATTCTTAAGGGACAAATGATCCGTGAAGGCCTTTTTACACTCATGGCATTCATAGGACTTTACTTCAGTAGTTCTCTTGAGTACATTCAGATGTGAAATTTGGCCCAAGGCTTGTCCACACCGATTCTCTTCATTGCATTCATAGATGTTCTCCGCAACTGGACTTCTTTTAAAAATAAAAGCACATTATTAGTAATAAATAAACTTTTATCATTTTCAGTGACTAGGTACATTTTCTGCCCTGTCAAGTTACAAGTTCAAAGTTCTCACAGAAGGGTCTACAATACCCAATATTATCACTGAGGTTTTCTTGACATACAATTTTTCTGATAATTGCTTACAACTGAACTCTGTGTCAAACACTGAAGATCGCAATGTTTTTTTAGGGAAAAAAAAAATCTTGGAAAAATTCTTTATGAAATCACAATGTTGGAACAAATTCTAGATAAACATTTTTTAAGTTTTATGACATCTTAAGATTCTCTCCTGAGGCATTACTTTTTCTTTTATGAATGGCACTCACCTCAAATGTCTCTCATGGTTTTTGTTCTGATGACAAATACCCTGGTATTCCCAGTTTTTGTGTAAAATGGATGAGTGAGAATCATTCCTTTTGAATCTCACTATTTTCTGTTCATTGGATATTTCTTGCCCATAAATATCTTGTGGAGCTACTGATTCACTGGTTTTAAGCTGAATCTCAAAACCTGAAACAAAAAAGTACAGGCACCTATAAGCAAGGGACTTCTGGCAATGTGGCTGTTTCAAGACTTTGGTAATACGCAGAAGGGTCAAAACGGTAAGCAAGAAATTATTCCATGGAGACTGAGACTGATAGTAACACAAATAAGGTACTATTAGGAAAACAAGGGGGACTTGGCTGGCTCAATTGGAAGAGCATGCAACTCTTGATCTTGGGGCCATGAGCTTGAACCCCACGTGGGGTATAGAGATTGCTTCAATAAATAAAACTTAAAAAGGAAAACAAAATAAAAAGGAACCAGTTCCCTCTTAAAGTGCATATGACCAAATACTAACTTACAAGAAGAAGTACGGGCAATATTTCAGGAACAAGGGAAGGGTGAGAATACCGATAAAAGTCAAAATAGTAATCCAAGATGGCTGGGAGATCAGACTCCTCAAACAAAACAAAGTTTTGCTTTGCTTTTATTTGATTTTTCCAAACCTAATATTCCCCCAACCAGGACAGTTTTTCCCAAGGACCCTTGCCTTCCTGGTGCTCCCCCTGGACAGGTCCTCCTTCCACTGTCTCCAGGTCCTCCTCTTGTTTCCACTGGGAGATCAGATATGGTGTGTGTAGTGGATACCCTGTTAATGCAGAAAGGCTTATCATGAGGGAAAACAATGATGATCCATAAACATTTCCATGAGACGGGGTCAAAATTTTGCTCTCCTGATACTGTAACAATGGGAAAGAATGAACTGAATTTCTACAAAATGTCAAAAGTTTTTTTTTAAACCAGGGGCGGAGGGGGGAGTAGACAATGACAAAGACAATGACACAGCCTCTGATTTCTAGAACTGATGTGACATTCATTATCTAAACTTTAATATTAGAAGCTCATGTGATACAGCCAGGCCATTTTGTTCTCCTATTGCACGTTAGTAATCTCACAGAATACCAACCTTAAACAAGATTACTCTGAACATGATAACTTTTTTTTTTTTAAGATTTTATTTATTTGACAGAGATACAGCGAGAGAGGGAACACAAGCAGGGGGAGTGGGAGAGGGAGAAGCGGGCTTCCCGCTGAGCAGGGAGCCCAATGTGGGGCTTGATCCCAGGACCCTGGGATCATGACCTGAGCTGAAGACAGATGCTTAACTGCTAGGCCACCCAGGCGCCCCTAGACCATGATAAAATTAAACAAATCAAGGCCACTACATAATTTAATCTAAGGATGACTCACCCAGTCACTGTGCACCTGACAAAATACTTAATAATAAAATGTCTACCTATTTGGGCAGCATCCAACTTAAAGTGACCACCTGTGGACTGGGTTGAGCAGTGTCCCTTGAAAATTTATGGCCAAACAGAGCCATGAAACAGAACAGAGAGGCAGAAATAGACCTACATATGGTCAGCTGATATTTGACAAAGGAGTAAAGGCAGTATGTGGAGAAGATAGTCTTTCCAACAGAGACGGAAACAAGCCATCAACATGCAAGAAAATGAATCTAGACACAGACTTTTACATTCGTCACAAAATCAACTCAAAATGGGGACAGCTGGGTGGCTCAGGTCATGATCCCGGGGTCCTGGGATCGAGCCCCACATCGGGTTCCTTGCTCAGCAGGGAGCCTGTTCTCCCTCTCCCTGCCGCACCCGCTGCTTGCACACATGCTCTCTCTGACATATAAATAAAATCTTAAAAAAAAAAACAAAACTCAAAATGGATCAAAGAGCTAAATATAAAATGCAAAACTTTGAAACTCCTCAAAGAAAACATCATATGAAAAGATATCTGAACATGTCATCAGGAAAATACAAATTAAAACAATGAGAAACCGCCACACCTTAGATCACCTATGAGAACTGCTAAAATCCAGAACACCGACAACAAATGCCAGCAAGGCTGTGAACAGGGGCTCTCATTCACTGCCGCGGGGAATGCGAGATGGTCCAGCACTTAGGGAGACAGTCCGGCAGCTTCTTACAAAACTAATCTTACCATATGATCAGCAATCACACTCCTTGGAATTTACCCAAAGGAGCTGAAAACACCTCCACACAAAAACCTGCACATGCAGGTTGACTGCAGCTTTATTCACAGCTGCCCAAACTTAGAAATGATTAAGATGTCCTTCAGCAGGTGAATGAATAAAACCGTGTTATACCCAGACAATAAAATATTATTCAGAACTAGAAAGAAAAGAATTATCAAGCCATGAAAAGACACGAAAGAAGCATAAATGCACATTACTAAGTGAAAGAAGCCACTGAAAAAAAATCTATATAGTATATGATTCCAACCACAAGACATTCTAAAAAAAGCCAAAACTATGGGAAGAGTAAAAAGATTGGGGGTTGCTACAGGTTAGTGGGGAAGGAGATGAACTGACAAGGCAAAGAGGACTTTTAGGGCCGTGAAAGTACTCTGTATGATACTCTAACGATGAATATGTACCATTACATATTCATTCATTACATTACGTCTTTGTCCAAAGCACAGAATGTATTCTGTGTTGAATGATGGACTCAGGGTGATGATGATGATGTGTCAGCTCAGGCTCATCAACTGTAACAAGTGTACCACTCTGGCAGGAGATGTGGATAGTGGAAGAGGCTATACCTCGATGGGAGCAGGGTATACAGGAGAGGTCCCTGTATCTACCACTCACTTCTGCTCTGAATCCACAACTGCTCTAAAAAAAGTAAGTGTATCAAAATAAAATAGCCTGTCCCTTCTTGAAACCTCAGAATGTTATTTTATTTGGAACTAATGTATCTTATCTGGAAATATGTAGCTATAATCAAGTAAAGATGGAATTATACTAGATTAGGGTTGGTCTTAAATCCACTGAGCAGTGTCCTTTAAAGGAGGGGCATAGAGACAGAGGGAAGAGGGCCATGTGAAGATAAAGGCAGAAATCAGAATGATCCAGCTGCACGGGGCGCCTGGCTGGCTCATTCGGTAGAGCATGCCAACTCCTGATCTCAGGATGGTGGGTTCCAGCCCCACGTTGGGTGTAGAGATCACTTGAAAATAAAATCTTAAAAAAAAAAAAGAAAAAGAAAAAGAAAAAGATATCGCTGCAAACCAAGAAATGCCAACAATTGCTGGCAACCACCAGAAGCTAGGGAGAGACCAGGAGAGACTTCTGCCATAGAGCCTTCAAAAGGAGCATGGCCCTACTGACCCCCAGATTTTGTACTTCCAGTCTCCAGAAATGTGAAAGAATAAGTTTCTGCTGTTTTTAGCCACAGTTTGGGGTACTTTGTTATGAAAGGCCTAGGAAACCAATACAGCCTGCTTCCAAGACCCATCTCCAAAGCACTCACCCAAAGTACAAACCCAACAATATGTACTTTTTAACACCTTCATTCTGAAACATACCACAGCTCCCCATGTCATGTGTCCTCTCTCTCTGCACTAATAACCCCTCTTGTTTACAGGTATCTTTCTGAGTAAAGAGCATGGATGTCAGTAAAATTCTCATAAGGACCCAAACCACAAACCTCTCTAAGGCCCAAAGTGACCCCTGAAGTCTGTGCCCGCACTTCTAACACTTAATAAGCCTCAAGACTTTTAGCCACAAGAAAAATAAAAAGACAGGGATGCCTGGGTGGCTCAGTCAGTCAGGCATCCACCTTCAGCTCAGGTCATGATCCCAGGGTCCTGAGATCGAGTCCCACATCTGGCTCCCAGCTCAGCAGGGAGCCTAATGCTCTCCCTGCTTGTGCTCACTCGCTCTTTCTCTCTCTCTGACAAATAAGTAAATAAAATCTTAAAAAAAGAAAAGAAAAAGAAAAAGGCAGTTCACTATACACGTTTATTGTCATGGTGAAGCCATCAGACTCTAAGTTCTTTGAGACCTGTGACAATGTCGGTCTTATTTACCAATTCGTTCCAATTCCTCAGCCTAAATCCTGGAACAAGATCAATTAGTGAAATTATTTTCTAAACAACTAAATGAAGGAATGTTGCCATTCTTACCTAGTGAGGCCAGGTTCTGAAAGTTTTCCAGCATCACATCTCTGTAGAGGCTCCTCTGAGCCAGATCCAGCAGAGCCCACTCCTCCTGGGTGAAGTCCACAGCCACATCCTCAAAGACCACGGAGTCCTAAAACATCCCAAATATATTCCTTTCAGAAAGGTGCCTACTCTCCCCACGTGTGCAAGAAGATTGATGAGGTTGCTAACATTAGGGAACTGAGAATCAATTCATAGGAAGTTCTGAAAATTTTTTTTTTTTTAATTTTATTCATGTGACAGAGAGAAAGCCAGAGGGAACACAAGCAGGGGGAGTGGGAGAGGGAGAAGCAGGCTTCCCGCAGAGCAGGGAGC